CCCGCGCGGAAGGCGTTACCCCTCCTCTTTCGGTCCTCGCTTTTTTCCCTCCGTCCTGGGGGGGTCCCCCCCCCCCCCCCTCGCCCTACCCCTGCCCCTCCCCCTCCCCCTCCCCCTCCCCCTCCCCTCCCGAGCCGCGCCCGTCGCCGCTCCAGGCGCGATCGCTGCTCTGCGCGGCCGCCCTCTCCTGCTGCGACGGGGCGGCGGAGGCGGAGCTGGGCGGCGTGTGCGCGGCGGCGGAGGGCTTCGTCGTGCTGACGGCGGGCGAGCCGGAGGAGATCGACTTGTCCGTGGAGGAGGAGGAGTGGGGCGCGGGGGACATTGGCGAGGCGGGCGAGGAGAGCGGCGAGGAGGGCGAGGAGGAGGAGAGCGAGGAGGAGGAGGAGGATAGCGGTGAGGAGGAGGATATGGAAGATGACGACGAGGAGTAGGGTCGAGGGATCTCGAGAGGAGACGAGCGGGAGACCCGCGCGACGCGAGAGCGACCAGAGCGAGACATGGAGCGAGCGAGCCGGGACCGAGTGGGATCGGCGGCTCTCCGCGCGACAGCCGACACCGTCTCAGTCGCGTCGCCGTCGGACGCCTCGTGTAGTGAGGGTCCGGCGGTGTGTATTGACTGTAGTGTATTGAGAGCTGGTGAAAAATCGTGAAGACAGGGAAGCGCGACAATAGTATCAATAGACCATCAGCCATCAGGATTTCCCCGCTTGCATCATACGGCTCTATCATGGTTTTCGCCATGGTAGATGGTATATGGAGTCATGACACATCTAAAAGGAAAAAGCTCGGCGCACGTCTTGGTCACGTCATTTTTACGCTCTTGAAATCACACCTTGCGATTTCACACAAAGAAATCACGCTCGCCGCTCGGAGCCCGGAGCGATATTTTGTTTGGTGCCGGTTACTACGGTAAAAATGTATATAGCTGCGCGCGCTTCTACTGTACACGCGGGCGCAACGAACATGGCTAGTACAGCAGAGCACATGCGAGGGCACCGGCGCCGCGACTTCAGACAGGCTGCTACGACTAGTGGAGAGGCAAAGCGTCTATCATGACTCTACATGCGGCGTTGGCAATCGGCGCGCCTATGGTGTGTACTCGCACCGAAGGTAGTGTACAGTCGTCCCCAACGTCGCGCACCTACAGCCCTCTCCACCCAGACAGACAGGCTGCTACGGCTAGTGGAGGGGCAAATCATGACTCTACATGCGACGTTGGCGATCGGTGCGCCTATGGTGTGGACTCGCACCGAAGGTAGTGTACAAGCGTCCCCAACGTCGCGCGTGCCTACTCTCCTCACTCGGGGCGTGTGGGTGTCGGGGCCGATGCCCGCGTGGAGAGTACCTGCGGGCAGAGAGCAGCGTGCCGATGACGTTGACGTGCTCGTCCTTGGCCGCCGCGTGCAGCGCGGAGTTGGACGCGGGCACCTGGTCGAGCACGTTGACCCGGAGGAACCGACTGCATGTCGATGTTGGGGCCTGGCGCGGCGCCGGAGTCGCCGAAGTCCGCCCGTCCGTAGCCCTCCTCTGCCTCCGAGAGGGAGCGCGCGTCGCCACCGCCCGAGAGGGAGCCGCGGGCCGGAGACTCGGAGAGGTTGGACAGCTCGCTGTCGTTGCTCTCGCTCGCTCAAGCCGGGCGCGTACGCGTCGTCGCTCAAGTCGGTCATGCCCTGCGACAGACACCACGGGTGTGATTCGAATGAGAGCCGCGTGGCTGGTTGAGCTTCAGGTTTTGCGGGGATATGGCCGGCCGGAAGCTTGCGTCGCCCACTCACGCTGAACGTTTATCACGCATCACACTTCACGGCCGGAAAGGGTTTCTTTTTCGCACTGGCACTAACACAGGTCGTGCGAGGGAGTTTCGTTGTAAAATTCTTTTTCGCGCTCTTTCCCACAGCTCTTCTCCATTATCAATCTATTTCCAGTAGAGTCGTTTTGTCGTTTTGGTGGCCAGGCCGAAGTAGCAGGAGGTATGTATCAACCACCGTGATCTCTATCGACAAGCAAGACTATCCGGCATCGGCAAGGACAGTTGTGTGAGAGTGACATTGCTCATTGGACTCAAGAGTCAAGTTTCTTGTCTTCAACTAGACTGTCGTATGTATGTGTCTGCACGCGTCCGCATGCTAACCTCCATAAGTCTCTGTCCTGACACCGGCAGAGGACCTTGGCCGGCCCTGGTACGGAGCGCCTAGTCCCGGATCACTAGAATGCGCCACAAGCACGCGCCCACTCGCACGTGCAAGGGCATGGAGGTTGATGAGCACCGGTTGATCCTACGTTCCACAGGAGAAACAAGAATAGTGGCGCCGAAGGTAAAGAAAGGACCAAGGGAGCAGGGGTGGGCGTTTCAACTGCGAAAGCAGGCCAAGAAAGGGCAAACTCCGCGCTCGTGCTAAAGGTACACACCTTTGCCCTGATTTTGTTACTGCACGCTGGTGGCAACCATAGGTAGCAGCAGACAAAAATACTTTATCTCTCGGGCTATAAATAAATAAATAAATAAAAACGGACACCTCTCTACTAGGAGATGGGTAAAAAGGAACAGGTCCCCGCCCTGCGGTCTTTGTGCAGGGTTCTTTGTGGGTGTGGTCGGCGACTAGCCGGGGTCGTCCTCCCGGGGGACTAGCACTAGCCGTCTTCCACATGGTTCCTCGGGTCCCTGCTGCTCCTAATCTCTTCGTACATCCTCCTGCTGATCTCCGCAACGTCCTGCTCCCTCCCTCGTCTCGCCCTGCGCGACTGTTCCGCCTCACCGTCGTCTGCCCTGCGTCGTCTGGTGACGGGTCCTCCATAGTCGGTTGAGGTCGCCGCCCTCCTCGTGCCTCTTCCCAACGTTCCCTCGGCGGTCGATGCCGTCTGGTCCGCCTCCGCCGTCCCCGGGTCTGCCCTGCCCTCGTCTGCACTAGCTTCTGTTTCGTCATCACTGGCGCCTCTCCTCTTCTTTCTCCTCTTCTTGTATGCTTTGTACATCGCGTCGATTCCTTTTCGCGTGAGCACCATCCTGAAGCTCGCCCAGCAGCGGAACCGCTCCCTAAGTCGAAGGAGCATCATCAGTCTCACCCACATCGCTCGCTGCCCACTGTCTCCGCTCCCTCCCGCTTGAGCTGCCGTCGCGGCCCTCGTTCGTCCCACTGGCTGCTGGCCTGTCTGCACGTTGCCTCCGTTATCCCTCCTCCTCCGCGACTCCCTCAAGGCCGGGCGGGCCTCCTTCCACCGGGCTATGGGGCTCCCCCTCTCAGACAAAAATACGACTAAATGCTATGGGGCTCCCCTGAACACGTGTGTTTGCGCTATGTATGATTACTGCAGGTGCAGCGGTCGCGGGTCAGTCGCGGTCCGCGCGGTCCGCGCGGGATCGGTATAATTTCACGCTCGGGGGTATGATAGCACGGACATGAATTCTTACTCATGATATCAACAGACCCATCATTGTATCACAAATCATGTGCAAATCATGCTTTTCTCCATGGTTTCACATAGAGCCGGGGTTTTCTAGAGATGGACGAGACAAGCGCCACAAGCGTGTGCAGTGGTCCCGCGCCCGCGCTCGAGCGAGAGCCGAGAGGATTAAACGTACTCTATAGACCTCCTGGACACGCGTGAGAGCGGAGGAGAGAGACGGAGAGAGCGTTTGCAGCGCTTTTAGGGATAGACTCTGGGGATATAGACAAGCGTCCGCTCGCAAGCCCAAGCGAGGGTGTGAAGTAGTGAAGAGAGGGGCGCTTGCGGCGCGGGACGCGTCGTATAAGCCGTCAAAAGAGTGCGGTACGCGCATCTCGTCCGACGGCCGGTAGAGCAGGGTCGAAGGGCGGTGACAGGGTTAGAGTTGTGTACACGAAATAGACGACAGGGTGATCATCGCGCGCGCCAGCGCCGAAGGCACTGGGCACAGCGCCAGCAGAGGTGGCGGGGAGGTGGCCGGAAGAGGTGGCCAGCGGGAGGACGACACGGCAAGACGCGGCACGCTCCTCCGCTCACGCGGCCTTGCAGACGGTGGCCTCGATGGAGGCGTCCTCCTCCAGGCCACAGGCGGCCAACGTCGCCGTCACCTCCGCCCCCCGAAACACAATCTTCTCCGGCGCCGCCGCGCCCGCCGCTGTCAGCTTGGCCTGCATGCGCGCGCGGCGAGGGGTAAGTGTCTGGTGGAGGGCGAACCGCCTCGCAGGGGTCGGTCGGGCTGGCGTGAGCGCAGCACGAGCCGCAGGGGGAGGAGGGGCGGGGCGGCGGGCGCCTTGAGCGCAGCCGCATCATCGCCCGGGGACACCGAGATGGTCACCGTCTCGATGCGGCCCTCGGACGAGCCGATCAGCACAGGGCCGGTTGGCTCGGGCAGCGGCGGGTAGCTGGGCGGCGTGCGGTTGCGGTCGGAGGGGCGCGACTTGCGCGGCCGGCACGAGTTGTGCTTCTTGGCGCCCTTGTCGTTGACGTGGTGCGCCATCGCAGGGGCGAGCGCGCGCGGCGCGGCCGCCACCGCGTGCATCTCCAGTGGCCTCGGCGAGAGGAGAAGCCCCGCTGAGGCGAGCAACACTGCGAGCAACAGCATCTCCAGGCTAACCTCGTCCTGTCCGTCATTTTCTTTTCCATCCTCACTCCGTGCTTCCTGTCGTCTGTTGTTTGTTGTGCCCTTGTTTGTTTCTCTTGGCACCTTGGAGTGCTGGGGGGGGCGACAGGAAGAATGTGGCCCTGAGTTATGTGTACGCCAACTCAGGGTGTGTGGCAGCCAGCTGGCTGTGTGTCTTGTGAGCTTGTTTGTGTCTGTGTGTCGTTCGTGCGTGTCGTCATCATCTGTCTCGCGTCCACCCATACCGCGTTGGTGTCCAGTCCGAGCCTGGCTGTTCTTCACCTTTCTACCTACCTACCTCCGTGTAGACACCCCATCTGTGCATTCCTGTTTTCCGTCTTGACATTCTCGAAATTTCTTTTCCATCCACGTGATAGCCATGGCTGCGAGCAACCTCAGCTAAGCTCGAGGTAAACTCGTTTCTTTTCGAGGTATCCTCTTTTTGTGGCATTCGTTCGTCCGCGTGGCCCGGATTACCGGCTCGGTTATTGGCCTATCGCAAAACATCCGAGGTCCCGAAACCGCTCCACATCGATGTCCAGCGACCCGCGCCAGCCTCCGCCGCACGCAGAGGCGCTCGGTGCGGCCGTTGCGGCTCTCGGGCCGCTCGATCAGATGACGCCCTGAGGGAGGGTGTAGAGGATGTAGAGTGTAGAGCGTTGTAGAGCTGTAGAGATGTAGAGCGCTCTGGAGCGCTGTAGAGCTGTAGAGCTCTACATCCGGCGCGGGACAGAGCGATGCAGATGTAGATAGAGCGATGTAGAGGCGCTCTACAACGTGAAATCTCTACAACAAACTCTACATCAAAAGCGGCGAACGAGGCACGGTCGCTCTCCGACATTAGGCGCGTTGCACTTGCCAGTGCTGCCCTGGCCTTCTGTCTGCCCGCCCAATGGGTGGCAGGTGCCTCTGCTGCTGTGGCATGCCTCACGGCTGCGACTGGCCGGCGCCTCGGCGCGTCAGCTCGGCTCGGCGTAGCGATAGTGGCCAGCGCAACTCGCTTGGACTCAACGCTCAGCCAGGAGCTCCCGCACGCGCTGGCGCGAGGCATGGCGCATGCAACGCGCAGCAATGCTCGCCTCGCCTCGCGCAAATGCGACCGTCCTCGCAGCCGACAGTCCACCGCCTGCTACAGAAGCACAGCGACGAATGCGGCACCGGCGACGCATGGCAGGCTGGTCATGACGCAGTTATAGGGTGTTGTGTGCCGTCAGAGGGACTCTCTGTGTGTCAGGGATAGTCAGGGCCGTTCATCAGAGCTCCAGTAAGCTCGGAGACACCCCACTAGTGCGGCTCGACCTCTTTGAGTCACTGCCTTCCCGGCGGGTTTGCTGTAGAGCCTCTACAACAAACTCTACAGCAAAATCGCGCTCTACAGTGCTCTACATCTGCATCGCTCTGTCCCGCGCCGGATGTAGAGCTCTACAGCTCTACAGCGCTCTCCAGCGCTCTACATCTCTACAGCTCTACAGCTCTCTACACTCTACATCCTCTACACCCTCCCTCAGATGACGCCCGAAAACGAGGAGCTCGTGTCGCGGATGCAGGATGGCGCTCAGCCTTCATCGCCGCCTCGCTCATCGGGGCTTGCGCCATCTATCTAGCGGCAGGCGGTGGAGCATTCTCGCGAGCCCCTTCCGATTGCGCGATTGGTGTGCGCCGCCGCGGCGCAACGCCGACGCGAGAGACGCGCGCGAGAGAGCATCGCGGCCGACCTGGCCGCGCTGGCCGATGCGCCGTCGCCCAGCAGGGTGCTGAGGCACTTGGAGGCGCGGGTTTTTTCTTTTTTGATTTTTAAGAATACATTATTTGCGGGCGTTAGGCGCTTAGGAAATTCACTTCACGTGCGCCCGATCCTGGACAGTCCTAACCCGGCGGGAGCGCGGCCGCTCGCGTAGCGCTCACTCACACTGCCCCAGTCAGAGTGCGGGTGAAAACCAAGATGAACAGTGCCCAAGAGCGAGGACCCCGAGCCCCGAGGCGCGAGGGAGGGGAGCACCAAAGCGCAAAGGAAGAAAGGAGCGCGCCCAGCCTTGCCCTTGTGCCGCCGAGTGCGTATCTTATTCGAGAGAGACCGCCTGTGCCCTGTGCCCAGCACTCTCCGCGCCGCGCTGCACGCTGCACCCCACCCCTTCGTCGTGCGTCGAAGACGAGCGTACTTGCAAAAACTTCGACGACACGTGTCGGGGCCGTCCGTCGTTGTTTGATATGGCAGGTACCACGGCGCGCTGTGCCAGCTGTTGCGGTGGCGGTGGCACGCAATGCCAGCCCTGCCGACCCTCGTGCTCACGCTCCTCGTCTCCATTCTTGCCCAAGACGAGCGGGCGAACCTTCCCGCTCGGGCGCCGTGGCCAGGGCGGCACGGGGGGAAGCGGCGGCACCCCACTCGAAGGCTTCGCGCCCTGTCCGCGCGTGCGCTGCAGCAGCTGACTGAAATGGAGCAGCACGACGACCTGTCTGCCGTGACCACCACCACCACCACCACCACCACCACCACCACCGGCGCCAACATGAGCTGCAGCGCAATGCAGCATATCCTGCAGCACGAGGGCATCCGGACCGCCCCCATTGTGCGGCGCACAAAGCTGGACTTGCGGCGTCGGCTGGATGGGGCGATCGAGTCTGCGCTGAACCAGCGCTCGGGGCTTGCGAGGCCGGCCGGCTTCGGACAGATGCAGCTCTCCTTTGGTGTGTGCGGCGGCCTCATCAACCAGCGGCTCGCCCTCCTCACGGCGATGCTGCTGGCGCACCTCTTCAACATGACGCTGCGCCTGCCCCGGATCAACCTGAACGGCCTTCAGATATACGCCGCCGGCGAGCGCACCGAGCCCTTCTCCGAGACGGCGCCGTTTGGTACCCTGTTCGACGTGGATGCCACGACGGCAGCTTTGGCGCAGGCGGGGGTGCAAGTGACGAGCGGTGAGGCATACGCCGACGCCAAAAAAATCGAATTCACCCTCCCCGCGCTTGCGCCGGGAGTGCACCTGAACGCGACCTCGCTTGTGCAGAGAGCGGAGGAGCTACTGCGCCCTCAGGCCGGCAGAAGGGCCGTGGTCCAGCTGCGTGAGTGCGCCTTTGGACCTTTGAGCCGGCTCACTCGCCACCACCCGCACCTGCAGCGAGCCTTCTGGAGGCTCGACGCGGCGCTGGTGCCAGCAGCAGGCGTTGCTGCGGCTGCGGCTGCGATCGTGTCGCGGCTGCAGGCCCTCTCGCGGGCGTGGGGCGGCGCTGGCTCCTTCACCGCCCTGCACATGCGCTCAGAGGCCGACTGGATTGCTCACTGCGCGAGGTGGGACTCGATGCCGGCGAGCCCGGGCAACTGCCTCACGAACATCGATGCCATTGGCAATGTCTTTATCATCGAGGGGGTGGACAAGAAGCAGCCGATCTACGTGGCCACCAGTTTGGAGGAGGCGGCGGGAGCATCCGAAGGCCGCCTGCGAAAGGTTCGTGGTCTCTCGACGTTGACAGCCTACCGGCTCGTGTCGAAGGAGACGATCGCGGCAGACGTCATAGCTCCGTTCGCCGGTAAGCGAGAGCTCCTTGCCTACATCGATCTACTGGTCTGCGACCGGGCGTCGCGTTTCGCGGGCAACTCCGTCTCCACCTTCTCCGCTTACTTGCTCATGCGCCGCCGGCATATTGGTCTGCAGCGCGACGACTTTTGGTACAATGGTGGGCCCATTCCTCTGCAGTCGATGATGACGGGGCTGCTTGATCCACTCAGCACCTCGACGGAGCGGCCGCTGAAGTGGGTCTTTACCATCAACGCCAACCCGACCGAGGCTTTTGAGCGCGCGTGCAAGCTCGCCGTCACCTCCGCTTTGGCGGTCACGACGCTGGTCCCGGTCTGCATCTTCAAGGGAGAGCAAAACTACCTATCGGACTGGCTGGCCCAGCGTGGAGTTCGGATCATCTTCTACTCGTCGGAGCCCTCCTGGTCACCTTCGATCCACCGTGCGTTCCTCACGGGAGTTGGCGCCGACGATGCGGCCGCGGGCAACGCCTCCGCCGGACGACACACGTCCACCAACTTTCGCAGCGCCGAGACCATGGCCACAACCTTCCTGCGCATCGACATTCCCGCCCTCGGCTTTGTGGATGAGTATGTGCTCTACGCTGACGTCGACGTCCTCTTCACCAACGACGTCTCCCTCGCCCACTTTTGGCCGCCCCCTGCGATGCTCGCTGTCGGCACAGAAGCCGCCGATCGCCCAACGCGAAGGACGAGTCGGGGCCCCATCTTCTACTCGAATGCGGGGGTGATGCTGCTCAATGTCGAAGCGCTCCGCAAGACGTACTCGTGTTTCGTGCGGGAGACCTTCTCGGTGGAGAATGTGCAGCGCGGCCTCGACTTCGGAAGCTACGGCCCGCTTGACCAGGGCGCGTACAACCGATTCTATCAGCAGATGCTTGACGTGCACGAGTCGCCGAGATTCAACTGGAAGCCGTACTGGGGAGCAGCCCCACCTGACACCAGTATCCTTCACTTTCACGGCCCAAAGCCGGAGCACTACCTGGAGCAAGCTGTGGCGACGGGGCAGCTCGCTGGCCTGATGGAGAGGTGTGGCGCCGGCTCGGGCCACCGCCCGGCCTGCCGTGCACACCTAAACTTGTACAAGGCGGCCGTGAGAGCAATTGAGGTAGACTCGACCAGAACCGGGGGAGGGTTACCAGCGTCATACAACGAGTCGCTTCGTACGCTGAGTGAGCAGGTCGAGAGGTGGCGCTCGCAACAAAAGGGACACCCAAACAGCCGGGGCATGGACAACAAGGTGGCGCTACAGCAGCAGGCGACAGCCAACGCTCGACGACTGCTGGCGAGCAGCACTGCTCCGACGCATAACCGAGGCGAATCCGCCGGCGCCTCCCTAAGCTCGTTCATCGCCGCCGCGTCTCTGGCGCTGGGCATCGCCGGCTACATCCCCGAATCGCCGCTCAGGGGCGGCGAGCGCCGATATGTAGCCATCGATGCTTGCGGCGGCTTCACGCACCAGCGCATGTCTCTTGTGCAGGGTGTGCTCATAGCAAGGCTCATGGGCCGCACAGTGGTCTTTCCGCACAAGCTGAGCGCCAACGCCCGCCTGCGCATCCATAACCGGTCGCGCCCGGTGAGAAAGCAGAGTCCGGCGCAGGGTGCGGGCTGGAGCCAGGGCCCGGCCGTGCGCGTGCCCTTCGAGGCGTTCTACAACTACAACCAAACGGCAGCAGCTTTGCGCAAGCATGGCATACGCGTCGCCTCTGATGAGGAACGGCAGCTCGTGCACAACAACGCCTCCTCCCCGGCCGTCAACGTGCGGGGGCAGGCGCATCCAGCGTCCTTCTTTCGTGAGCTGATGCCGAGGGAGCAGATTGTCCGAGTCGGATGCACCTTTGGAGGCCTGGGTGCGCTCGAAGGCTATACGGAGAGGGAGTTCTGGGCCATTGACCGTGCGCTGATCATTGCGGATGCCATCATGGAGAGGGCGCAAAAGGTGGTCAAGAGGTTGGGCAGCCAGAGCAAGGCGGCCGGGGGGTTGGGCAGGTACAACGCGCTGCACGCGCGCGTCGACGACGAGTGGGCCGTGTACTGCAGGCAGTGGGAGAGCGCTGGCTACGGCGATAACTGCCTGACCAACACCGACAGCCTTCACAACACGCTCATCATCGAGGGCTTCTCACGGAGTCTGCCCATCTACCTAGCTGGCGAGCTCCGACCGTCGGCCGACACTGTCGGGACGCTCGCCAGCCTGCGCACGCAATACGGCATCTACACCAAGGAGAAGCTGTCCTCGGTGCTGAGCCCAAGACACCGCGGTCTGATGACACCCCGATCCCTCTTTGCTGTAGGACACCCTGCTCCCGCTCGACACAAGCCACGGCGTCGAGCAGGAGCTCGACGCAGCCGTCGACTACCTGGTGTGCAGCATGTCGCACAGCTACTCTGGCAACTCGATATCCTCCTTCTCCGCATACATGCTGCTTAGTCGCTCGCGGCGCGCGGGCGGCTTTGCCAGTCGCGATTTCAACTACAACGGCGGAAGGATCCCACTGGCGGAGGTGCTCTTCACACGAGTCATCAAGCGACAGAGCATCGCCATGCCGATTGCAGACTACCCACAGTATCGGCGAGCTCGTCAGCCCACCTACGACCGCGTCTGCGCTGCGCCGGCAACAACTGAGCCTCTCAAAACAAGTGCGCGCTCCGTTCCCCGTCGACCGGCGCACACACGTCGACCACAAACTGCCGTCGCCACAAACTTACCACACGCGCCCGTACCCAGGCCGGACGAGACTGAAGTGGGTGTTTGCGGTCGACGACGCAATCGACGACACGTACGCCCCGATGACTAAAGTTGCCCTCCTGAGCGCTCTCAAGTACACCTCGCTTGTGCCGGTGTGCATCTTTAGCGGCGCACCCAACCGCAAGTCGCGCTGGCTCGAAGAGATGGGGGCGCGCGTCGTGTTTCACACGCCCACGTGGAGGGAGAAGCTATACGAGGGCTTCAAGAAGGCGGAGGAGCTGCGCTTGAACCGTTCGAGCCCCCTCTACGACAAGTTCAGCATGATGCTAGCGACGTGGCTCCGCCTGGACCTCGGCGTCCTCGGTTTCGCGGACGAGTATGTCTTGTACGCGGACGTCGACGTGCTTTTCCGCCAGGACCTAGGCCTCGCCGACTTTGGCGTCACGCTGCCTCAGTTTTTTCACATGGGCACCGAGATGTGGGTGAACAACAGTGATTGCGGCAATGGCAGTCAGTGTGGCAATGCCGGTGTGATGCTCGTCAACGTGCGCGGGCTGCGCCGCACGCACTCTGCGCTAATCGCGGCAACCTTCTCGACCGGCCTGATTTCACAGGGTCTTTTCTTCGGCGCCTTTGGGCCTGGCGACCAGGGCGCTCTCAACCGCTTCTACGCCGGACGGTTTGAGGTGTCCCACTGGCCATTATTCAACTGGAAGCCGTACTGGGGCCATTGCGCAGCTGCCAAGATCGTGCACTTCCACGGCCCGAAGCCGCTCGACTACTTGAAGCCGCTCTCCCAAGCCACCCCGTTGCTAAAAGGGCTCGTGGCCAAATGCCAGCGGGGTGGAGAGAAGATCCCGTCCGCGAGTACCCTGATGCCGGGCCTGCACTCGGCCGAGGGGGCGGGGGGATGCCTCAGGCTCGTGAGGGCTTGGTTGCAGATCCTGACTGCGCCCCGATCCTCGGGGAGGCGAAGAACAGACGCACATGGTTGAGACGCATGTGCGATATGGGTGTGTACTGCAGCTGTCGTACGTCTCTCTATTCTCTTGTGTCTTGGCAAACTCTCTTCAAGTAACGCTGCTCCCTCTCTCTCTATCTTCGCTCTCCATCGGCCTTTCCTCTCTCTCTCTCTCTCTCTCTCTCTCTCTCTCTCTCTCTCTCGTCTCTCTCTCTCTCTCTCTCTCTCTCTCTCTCTCTCTCTCTCTCTCTCTCTCTCTCTCTCTCTCCTCTCTCTCTCTCTGTGTGTGTGTGTGCGGTGTGTGTGTGTGTGTGTGCTCCCTTTAGGCATGGGGGGGGGGGCATAAGGCTGGCCAGAAACTCTTGGAGCACTTGGAGTGCAGTCTCATCAACCTCACATCCAGGGCCGGGGAGCTAAGAAGCGCACCCAGCGGGCCGGATGATCGATATCGGGTTACGGGCTAGAGAGCCCTAGCCCTGGGGGGGTGCGCGTTCGCAGGGCCATAACACGGGTCTCCGAGGGTTGATCCGGCGCTCCGGGTCCCCCTAAGCTGCGGAACGCCCCCTCTACTCGGAGCTAGCAATACGAGAATACTCTCCGAGGGTTGGTTCCGTGTACCGAAACGAATTAGTTTTTTGCGAGTTTTGCGAGTTGCCCGCCAAAAAAAGTAATTATTGACTTGGGCCCTCGGGGAGGTCTCTCTAAACCGCGGCCTCTCCTCTCTATCGAGGCCTCGAGATACGTAGCGGCCCATCGATTCGACTTTCCTCTCTCTGCCGTGCAAAGCTGCTTCCGAGCTCTCACGCCGCGGCCCTTAGGGCCTCGAGAACAATATCTCCCTTATGTCTTCTAGTAAGCTACCACGGACCGACGACGGCGGGCGGTTTCGGACTTTTCGTTTCTGCGATCAGCTTGGTGGCCGGAGACCGAGACCCCCCATGTTGCGCAACGTCGCCGTGTTGGCGCTCGCAACCATCGCTGCCGGATTTGGTCCAGCAGCGATCATTCGTGAGCCCGACGACGCGCTTGACCAAACGATGTGCGCGGAACCTGACGCGCCAGCAGAGACCATCGGGCCGATCCTCGCCGAATTCCTCCGCCCGGACCTATTAAGTTGCAACCAGGTGGGCACGGCCATCTTTGACTCAGTTTACTCCGGGTGCGACGTGCTCTCTTCCTACTGCCCCTGCACGTGCGGCACCCGTTCTTCCCGTTCCAGCGGTGGCTTCAATTGTCAAGCGCTGGCATGCTCGTCAGGGAGGAGCTTTACCGCAGAAATGATCTTCAGGCGGTTCTGCGACAGCCAGACAAGCTGCATCACTGCACTGCCTGCATCACCGCCTGCGCCGCACAACCCGCCATCTACGCCGCCACCTCCAAGCGCGCCTCCAGGTGTGGGCTGTGGGCTCAATCCAGAAGACTTGGATTGGCCAGAAGAATTGGAGGAGCTAGACGGTTCTCAAAACGAGGTTCGCTCCCCCAGCCTACCTAACCCCTCCCCCCCCTTTGTTGAGCCCCCCCCCCCCCCCTCCCCCCGCGAATAGTGGTGTTGGCCTTACAAGGACGACAAAACCACGTGCGAGAGGAAATACGTCCGCCGCCCCTATCACGAAGTCGACAATCCATTTGGCGAGTGGATTGCAAGATGCGTCTTCGTCGACGGCTCGAGCCCTAGGTGCAAGTCCGACACGAAGATCTATGAGTGCTAGCTTGACCCGCTCCCGATCCGGCACCGCCAGTTGCCTTGCCGTTTTGGGGGAAATCGAGCTCTCATCGGCCCGGCAGCGCGAGGTGCAAGGGGGTCTACCCTTCTAGCTTGCTGCGGGGCGGCCGCGCGTCCCGTGTGCGCTCTCATCTCACTGAGTCTTGGGAAGGACCAGAGCTGACTTTGCTTGGTCCCTTGGATGAAGGATGTCTCCTGTCACCCCATTTTATAGTGAGGTGCTGGTTAACTTTGCGAGCCGGTGCGCGATCTAAAATTCTTTGACGGCGCAGCGCAGTCCCCCGGTTCTCCGTCTTTTCTTCACAAGGTCTGTGAAATATTGCTTGTTGGGTGTGAAATGTGTGGATCCTCCGGCAACTTTACGATCGTCCTCTCCTCATGCAGCAAGGCAGCAGCTAGGCCTGGCAACGATGGAGGTACGCGCGCAACAAGGAGCCCTAAACGGAAAGCCACCCGCCCAACTTGCCCTAACCGATGAGCAGCTCGACCGCGTTGCTGACCGAATTGCTGATAGGATCCTTGCGAGGCTGCCGGCGGGCCGGCAAGCCCGGGTGGTTCCCAAATCCTCTGGGCAGCTTCGACTGACGGTGATGATTGTGTATTTCGGCCCATTACCACCATGGATGCCGATCACGCTGCACTCCATGGCGGAGAATGCTGATGTGCGCTTTGTCATCGTTGGAGACAGCTCGGCGCCTGCGGCCACGCCCAAGAATGTGCATTTTGAGCACATCACTTTCGAGGCGATGCAGAAGAGGCTTGCCGAAATGCTACCTCCCTCGCTCGGGCGCCATGTTCTCTACAACGACACGTATAAGGCTAATGACATCAAGCCGTTCTTACCACACCTCTACTCTCACTTGTTGCAGGGGCAAGATTGGTGAAGATCGCTGCGCCTGCGCCTGCGCGCCTGCCACCGACAGATGCCTCATACAAGTGACTTGTCGCAGGTGGGCATGGGCTGACCTTGATGTCATATTTGGCGACCTCCTCAAGTACCTCACGCTCGCGATGCGAGCTCCGGCATGCTGCGTCGGTCCCGAACGGTGCATCGGCCGCAGCGCAAGTGCAGAGGTGCCGTGCGCCGTGGGGAGTCAAGGAGAGATTATCTGGCGGTCGGGAGTGCAGAACGCCTTTTCATCCTCACGGCGGTCGCCGCAGTGCAAGTGTACGCGCGGAGAGCAGGACGCCAAGCACCTGCCCGTGTGTGCTGTGGTCGCGCGCCAAAAGCGAGAGCCCTTCCCTCGCGCCGCAGGCCAACGTCGTGTGCCCATTCTTTCCCAACCCGCCGGCAAGCAAGGCCTGGGGTCCGTTCACCGCATTCTCCACGGCTCTCGGTACCCGCCTCTTCGAGCAATCGCCCCAGTGGCGGCAGGTGCTGGCCACGCCAGCGTACACGCACTTCGACGAGTTTTGGGGCGCACATGTCTGCACCACTGCACCGCAAGTCCCGCCACGCTGTCACTGCATCCTCTCCTTGGCTCTAGGCCCGTACGCAGATGCGCCACATCTGTGGATGCTCATGGGCGGTGTGCTCAATCGGCTGGCGGAGGGGGAGGGGCGTGTGACAATGTCCAAGCTCAAGATTCCCTTCGGCGAGGCGAAGACCTGCGTGGACATTGGCTGCGTACATTGCCCGTGCGGCGCCGTACGCGCACGCCTGCACGGTGGAGCGCTGCTCGTCAATGGCCGCGAGGTGATGCTTCTTCACCTCAGTCAGTCCAAGAGCGCCTGGAGCGCTCTACAGCCCGCCGTGCCGCCATGGGCGCCCGGCTCCAGTGGCGAGTGGGCAGAGGATTGCATAGACATCGCTGGCCTTGGAACGCTCAGCCCTCGAGGCGTCACTTTCGCGAAGGGCCGCTACGGCCAGAACTCTTCTATTGCAGTCCGCGCCGCAACGAGGCTGCAGCGGCACCGTGTCAAGGCACCATACGGTAAGTACATCCACTACGGCCCCGGAGCGTCCAACATCCGACTGCGCTTTGGCCCTTGCGGCGAGGATAATTAGTTCTAATGAGCCCAGTTAGCGTTCATGTCCCTGACCCCTTGCTTCTCGTCCCCGCGCTCATCAATGGCATCTCGCGACTTTTTACATACATAGAAGCGATCAGGAGATCACGCGGCAGAGTGTCAGAAAGACCTCTCTCTCAGAGACCCTCTCTGGACTCTGCTCCGAACGGCGATACGTGACGCGACCACTCCTCATCGTCCACGCCCCAAACGGGCGGCTGTCTGGTCGAGTGCCTCGACCAGGAACAAGCGGCTGATGGCGGGGATGTGCTCGCGCCGCTCCCACGCCTTCCTTACGAGGGCGCGGGCGAGTGCGGCCGCCTCGGCGTTCGCGGCGCCCTCGCCGTCCGGGCCGGCAGTCGCGTCAGCGGGCGCGCCGCCGACGAGGGAGGAGGCCGCCTCGACGAGCCGCCTCGCCGCCTCGAGCGCCTTGTGGTCGCGCTCGTCGTTCTCGACCAGCCGCGAGGCGCGGAAGAGGCCGAGCGGGTCGACGAGCAGCCCAAGCAGAGAGCGGTCCTCCCCGCCGGCCAGCTCTACGCGCGGCGAGGCGTCGCGTAGCCTCGACCAGAGCTGGCGCGAGCTCGCGGCGAGCACCAGCGTGAGCTGCTCGACGACGAGCGCCTGCAGCGGCGACGGCGTCTGCAGCGTGTCGAGCAGCGCGTCCGCGGCCGCCTCTGTGTCAAGCGGCTGCAGCAGGGTCGGGTCGGCTCCGTCGACGGCGGCCGTGGCGGCGGCGTACTTGCGCGCCCCCTGCAGCAGCGTCTCGACGCGCTTGGGCGAGAGGACCCGTGCCGTGCGGTCGTCCTTGACGTCTCCAAAGACGAACGTCTCCAGCGCGCCCGCGGTGCGCGGCGACGGGTCGGACATGATGCGGCGCGAGATGTAGGGCAGCGTCTCCTGCACGATCGAGTAGTCTGGGTCGGAGGAGAGGCCGATCCCCTCGAGGACGGAGAAGGACTTTGCGATGTACGCAAAATAGGGCGGGATCTGGAAGAGCCCGTTCTCGGTCTCCGCCGTCAGCTCCTGCACGCGCGCCAGCAGCGCGGGCACGTCGAGCTTCGAGGCGCCGCCGCCAGAGTTCCAGGTCGAGTAGACGAAGGTGAGGTAGTCGACGACGCCGCTCGACTCGATGTCCGTCTCGCCGCCCTCGGGCACGAAGCCGAGCCGGACCAGGTCATTCGGCACCTGCGGCGCGGCGGTTGGTCCGGCGGTGGGCAGAGGGCGCCGGGAAGGGTGTGGCGGCGGCGGGGCGGGGGCGGCGGCGGGGCGGGGGGCGGCCAGGGTCGGAGCGAGACGGTGGGGCGGGGCCGTCGCCTTGGCGTAGTCCTCGGCAGTGAGGTGCGCGACGTGCTCGATGAGCGTCAGCTGCAGGTCGGGCGAGATGGTCGTGACGAGCCCCCAGTCGAGGATGCAGAGCTTCCCCTCCGCCGTGCGCAGCAGGTTGCCCGGGTGCGGGTCGCAGTGCAGCACCCCGTCTTGCAGCATCATCTGCAGGTACGTGGACATGGCGAGCGAGCAGAGGCGAGGCACGTCCTCCGGCGCGCGGCAGCGATCGAGCCGCTCCCCGTCCACCCACTCCGTCGTCAGCACCCGCCGCGACGAGAACCCCTCCACCACGGGGGGCGCAAAGACGGAGCCGCTCAGCTGCCCCTGCCGCACGTTCGCGTTGAAGAGGGCGGCGTTGGCTGCCTCGGCGGAGTAGTCGAGCTCGGCGACGAAGCCCTCGCCCCACGCGTCCGCTGTGCCGACGAGGTCGCCCGGCAGCCCCACCGCGGACGCGAGCGGCGCGAGCACCTCCCGGACGAGGAGCATGTCGTTATTATTATCATCATCATCATTAGTTTTATATTATTATTATAGTTAGCACCTCCCGGATGAGGAGCATGTCGAGGGCGATCTGCCGCGCCATCCGAGGCCGCTGCACCTTGAGCGCGATCGGCGTGCCGTCGGGGAGGGCGCCGCGGTAGACCTGGCCGAGGGAGGCGGCGGCGACGGGCTCGGCCGAGAGCGAGTCGAGCAGCGCCTATTTTAAGGCTCCGGGGAGGCTCCGGGAGGGCGCAGGGATGGGTGCGTGCCGGCTGCCAGCCGGCCAGTGGCGCCTCTACGCCCTCCGCTTCGCCGAGCTCCTCGCGGATGAGGGCGGTCGCCTCGTCCGTCGGGAAGGGAGGCACCTGGGGCGAGGGGCGCAGCCGGGCTTGAGCCGGCCTCGCGCCGAGGCGGGGCCCTCCCCCTCCCCGCCCCGCTCGAGGCGCCGCCCGCCTGGTCCTGCAGCGAGGTGAGCCCGCGGATGTACGGAGGCGCGAGGAGGTCGGTGCGGATGGAGGCGGACTGGCCGGCCTTGATGAAGGTGGGGCCGAGCGCGGTCAGCACCTTGGCCAGCTGCAGCGCCCGCTCCTCCGCGTTCGCCTCCAGCGCGGCCGGCCCCGCCAGCCAGTCGCTAAGCAACGCGCCTCCAAACCCCGCCGACCGCACGCCGAGCTCGACGGCGCGGGCGAGCACCTCGAGCGGCCGGCGCACGAAGAAGGCGCGCGCCGCGTCCGGGTCGTACGCGTCGCGCGGGTACGGCCGCTCGTCGCCGCCCGCCGCGACGACCTCGCGCACCAGCTCCAGCAGCAGCAGCGCCGACAGGCCGAGGCCGACCTGCTCCGCGGGGTGCTCGCTGCCGTAGAGCTGCCACTGGACGCGGGCCTGCTCGGTCGCGCGGAGGACGGGATCCAGCACCGGCGTCGCGGCGTCGATTGCGGGTCGCGTCGCGTCCAGCAGGAACTCTGACGCCGGCCGCACAGCGTCGGCGAGCGCCTTTGAGGCGGCCTCGGCACGGGCGGCCGTCGCTGCGGCGATGCTCGCCGCGTCGGGCGCGTCGCCGAGCAGCAGCGGCGAGGGCGCGCGAGGAGCGGCCGGAAACGCGCGGTGGGGGAGGACGAGAGCGAGCAGCGCGGCCGCGACGACAACCATGGGTCCGCCCTCTCTACTTCGATGCAAGAAATTTCCAGGAATCACTCTCTCCCTTTTTTAGCTCTCAAGGATAAAAGAACTATATTATTCCTTCTGTTTTGTGGCTGCCAGACACCTCCGGGAACTCACGGTCCTGTGCGGGGTTTTCCGCGTTTTCTGTGGCAGGACGGCCGCTGCCCGCGGCTGGAGGTACACGCAGCAGCCAGAGTCACGGTCGATGGAGACCGTCATCTCGCTATAAAAAGAAAAGAAACACGTTTTCGCGATTTGCCATACACAGATATGGTCCTCCTCGCCATATCCGTCTTGCTCGCGAGCCCGGCGCTCCTCTCTTGCGCCCGCCCCGGCTCCTCCGCGGAGCCGCCGCCGCTCTCGCGCCGGGCGCTGCTGCCGCTGCCGCTGCTGCCGCTGCTGCTGCCGGCCGCCGCGCCGGCGGCCGACACCTTTGAGTACGTTGAGAACGGAGAAGCGAAGCAGCTCACCGAGATCCAGGCGCGCGATGCGCTCACCAAGAAGGTTGAGGCCGCGACGGCGGCCGGCAAGGGGCTGGATCTGGAGCGGCGCGGCCAGTTCAACGAGAAGGCGCTCTTCTCCGAGGACTTCTACTTCAAGTACGGCCTGCGGCCCTCCGCCTCGGAGGCGCTGGCCTCGCCGTACGTGCCTCCGCAGGGCGAGCTGCCGTTCTCGCCGGTGCAGCGGCGGTACAACGGCTACACCAAGTACGCGAGCCGCATCACCACCGGGATCGAGGCGTACAGCGGCGCGCTGCGCGAGGCGGTGGCGGGCGGGCGGTGGGCCGAGGTTGCGACGCTGCTCGACAAGGGCAGCAAGGGCAAGGGCTCCAACGAGAAGGGCGAGGGGAGCGGGCAGCCTCCCTCCGAGCTGCGCTCCATGTGCCGCGCGCTCGGCCTCTTTGGCAACACGGCGCTGCAGAGCGAAAACGACTCTGGCACCACCGCCGCCAACCTTCTCGCGCGGCACCTCGTGAACGAGCTCTACTTCTCCATGGACGACCTCGCGAGCGCGGCACAGGGTGGCGACAAGGCGGCCGCCAAGGAGGCGTGGAGCCGCGGCCGCGACTACCTCAACTCGTACCTACGCATCGTCAACTACCCCATCATCAGCCGTGTGGGCGACAAGTTCTCCGTGGTCGAGGGCAGTCTGTAGCGCTAAAGAAAGAAAGAAAAAAGCCAGCAGGACCGCCCAGCGAAGCGCAGCCTGCGGGAGCTGCCAAGAGGAATGCTCCGCGTTCTCCGCGGCGGCCAAGCGCTCAGTCGGCCTGCGCTCCTGGCGCCAGGTCGACGCCTATTGTGCGTCGCTTCCAGCAGCGAGAAGCAGAAGCGGCACCCGCTCCTCTCGGACGAGCGCATCACCGCCGAGCCGGGATACAACCGCTGGCTCCAGCTCGTCCCTGCATGCGTGGCGGGCACGGCGCTCGGCACCTACTTCGCCGTCCCCGGAGTGCTCGGCCCGCACATCTGCCGCGCGACCGGTGTCGTCGCGTCCGTGAGCTCCGACTTTTCGCTCGGCGAGGTTGTGCCGCTTGCGGCGACCATGTCGCTGGTGGCCGGCGTGCTCGCGGCTGGGCTCGCAAACTATTCGGCGGGGTTTGGCGTGCGTCGCGTCGCTCTCGCGGGCTCGGTCCTCTTCCCGGTCGGCATCTACGCCCTCCCCGCCCTGGCGTTGCAGTCGCACTCTCTGGCCGCCTTCTCCGCCGCGACAGTCGGCGTCGGAGGCGTCGGTTTCTACTGCATCTACCCGCAGCTGCCGCCCTTCATCACGACGCGCTGGTTCCCGGACCGCAAGGGGACCGCCGTCTCAATCTACTTCTGCGCCTTTGGCTCCGGCATGATCGTCGCCTCTAAGGCGATGCAGGCAGCGCGCTCGCCTCCTTTTGATCCACGACATCCACGACGCGCATTCCACATCGCGCGTCCATGCCACGCGCACGTCACGTCCGCGACACGCCCACGACGCGTCCCGCCAGGCGATGCTCGCCCACTTCCGGACCCCGCCCACCCGGCTCGGCGGCCTCGCCGAGGTGCCTCTCTCCCTCGGGCCGGCCGGGGAGAGGCTCGCGCGCGCTGCGCCGGGCGAGGGCGAGGGCGGGCTGGCCCACCCCCTCGCGGGCAAGCTGGCCGGCGGAGGGGGCGAGGGCGCGTCTCGAGCGGCGGAGGGCGTGGAGGTCGTCCTCGCCACTCCGCGCGACCTGGTGGCGAGCGGCTTCGGCGGGCTCGAGGAGGGCGTGTACCTGGTCGGCTCCGGCAGCAACGGCGTGGTCGAGACGATGGGAGGGATGGCGGTCCTCACCTTCTGCCTGCTGCACGTCTCGGCGTGGAGCTACCGCCTCCCGCACCCGACCGACCTCGCGCGCTGGGCGAGGGCGGCCGAGGCAGCGGGCGGGGCGGGAGGCGCCGCGGCGGAGCGGGGCGCGGAGCGGGGCGGGGAGCGGGGAGCGGGCGGAGAGGACGAGGCGGCGCGGAAGGGCGGCGCGCTCTCGGGCTGCACGCTCTCGGAGGCGCACGGCACGCCCCACCTCTACCTGCTCTGGGCCTCGACGGGCGCCCTCGGCACCGCCGGCCTAGCCGCGCCCCCTCCCCGCTCCGAGGAGCCATCTGTCTGAGCCTCTCGAGGAGCCACCCCCCCCGTAGGCATCACCGGCCTGCCCTTCCTCCTCTCGGGCCAGTTCATGGTGAACGACGTCTTCGGCGGCGCGGCGCTGCCGGCGAGCGTGATCGCCGCCACCGCGGTCGCCTTCCCGGGGATGGTCGGCGGAGCGAACATGGCCGGCAGACTCGTGTGGGGCCCGGTCTCGGACCGGCTTGGGCGCGGAGCCACGTTTGGAGCCTTTGGGCGAGATGCAGCCGAGATGCAGCCCAGAGATGCAGCCATACAGCCGAGATGCAGCCGAGATGCAGCCAGAGATGCAGCCATACAGCCGAGGTGCAGCCGAGGTATAGCCGAGGTGGAGCCGAGATGCAGCCGAGATGCAGCCGTACAGCCGAGATGCAGCCGAGGTGGAGCCGAGGTGCAGCCGAGGTGCAGCCGAGGTGGAGTGGAGCCACGTCGGCGCCGTTGGGCAGCGCCTCTACGGACCCCTCCTCTTTACGCCCCCCGCCCCTCCCCCCCCCTCCCGCCAGGGTCCTCTCTGTGCCCGCCCTCCTCTCTCTCCTGCTGGCCACCTCGATGGTGCACGCCGAGCCGGAGACGGCCCTCGCACTCTTCAAGGCCGCCTCGCTCACCGCCGTCGCCGTCTTTGCCGGTGCCCCCCGCCACACCCACGGCTTGCCCCGCCGCAGCTACCGCGCCAGGGCACGGCCAGGACACGGCTCGGGCACGGCCAGGGCACGGCTCGGGCACGGCTCGGGACGCCAGGCCGACGCCTCTCCCGCTCCGCCGCCAGGCGGCCCTGTCCTCCCTCCCTCCCTCCCTCCCTCCCTCCCTCCCTCCCTCCCTCCCCTTCAGGCGGCCCTGTCCTCCTCGCCCCCGCCGTCGTCGACGTCTTTGGCGCCAGAGACGCGACTGCAATCTACGGCCGGCTCTGGATGATGCTGCCCGCCGCTAACTTCTTCGGCGTGCTCCCCCTCCCCGCGGGCCCGTGCGCCCCCCGCCCCCTCCCCACGCCCCTCCCGCCCCTCCGCAGGCGCGACCCTCGTCTCGCGCGTGCGCGAGTACTCGTACTCCAAGCACGCCCTCGCCATCGCAGAGACGTGCGACGAGGCAGCCTTCACAGCAACCTTCGGCGCGCCACACTCCTCCCGAGGCCAGCCGGCGGCAGCCCCGCCGCACTCCCTCCGCAACCCTGCCACGCAGGCGCGCCGCCCGCCGAGGCGCAGTCGCTCATCGCGAGCAAGACGGCGACCCTGCCGCTGCTGCTCACCATCGCGCCCGAGGGGACCGTCGACCCGAGCCCGCTCCTGTACGACGACGCTTTCTACACGCTCGCCGGCTTCAGCGCGCTCGCCTGCGTGTGCAACTTGGCGGCGTACCGCTTGCCGAGGCCCCTTCGGTTATAGCATGCGTTTGTGTGACATTATTAAAACAGCGCCGCCAATGGGTGTTTGTGTTTTTGCGGTATAACTCGCGCGCGCGCCGGGGGGCGCGGCCGCGGGTGTACGCCTTCCGCGAAACGCGAACATGGCAAAATCTCCCCAGACCCCCGACACCTCGCACCTACAAAAACACGCGTCAGCACAGTCCACAGAGTGCAGGCCAGCTACGATTCCGGAAGGCGCCCGTGGGCCGGCTGCGCTGCCCTCCCCTCCCGCCGCCTCACACCTCTCTCAGTCCAGGTCGAGCGCGGCCAGCCTCTCCGACGGGGGCGGCGCCCGAGGGCGTGAGCGAGTCTGCAGCAAAGCGACGAGCGCCTGCTTCGGGTTGGAGCCACTCTCAGCAGCCTCGTCGAGCGCCTCGTCGACGGCCGCCCCGTCCACCCCCGACGCTGCGAGCCGCTGCCGCAGCTCCGAGAGCTTGAGGTGCGCGAGGGCCTCCGCCGCCTCGCCCGCCGCCTCGCCCTCCGCCGCCGGAGGGGAGGCCGGAGGCTCGGCGTCTTCGCTCGGTGCCGCCGCAGCCTCGACCGGTGCGGCGGCCGGCGCGGCGGCGAGTGCCTCTTCGGGCACAGCGACGCCCATCGGCACCTCCTCGCCCTGCGAAGGGGCGGCAGCCTGCGACGCCGTCGCGAGCACCGCAGCAGAGTCCGCCACCAGGGCCGGCCGGGCGGTGCCATCGTGCGCGAGAGGGGTGGGCGGGACCGGCGGCGCGTCGGGAATGTGGTGCGGAACGTCGTCCGCGGTGAGGCTGACCCACGCGCCGTGCCAGCTGTGCCCCATGACTCGCTCGTCGAGCTCAATCGTCCCGTCCTCACGCCGGGTCGCGTTCTCTGGATAGCAGTCCGAGATGTAGTCGGCAAAGGAGCGAGTCGGATGCAGCTTCTTGTAGAGGATCATCTCGTTCTCTAGGCGAAGCTGGAAGTACTCCTTGAGGTCGAGGTCGTTCGCTGGTGCCGGGCTCCCCATCGATTCTGACGACGGGACGGAGGCGGCAGCGCGAGCCGCCGAGTCGATGGCGCGAGATGAGACAGCTCGCGAGAACTCGATCGACGAGGTTGCGGTGCCCTGGGCGCCAGCGAGGATCGAGTCGAGCGCCTGCACCCCGCGCGGAGCAAATGCAGACCCGGCGCCGATGACGCCTCGGGCAATGCCAAAGCCGAGATTTACTCCCCAGATACCAATGTCGAGGCCGGCAGACGTCGAGGTCTGGGCAAACTCAGCGGGGGTGGAGCGTTCGCTCTCCTTTCTTTTGGAGTCATTCACCATGGGTCGCCGCCAAGGATCGGGCAGAAAAGAAATTTACACCGAGAGACTGCGAAGAGAGATAGGTAGGGGCAGACGCCCAAGGGTGGGCGACGGCTAGCGCACCACACCCCTCTCCTTAAAATCCCTGTGTGGTGGCGGCGTGCCGTCATTCCATCCCTCCCTTGGGTTGTCCGTTTTCTTTCTTTCTTCCTTTACTAGCACGGCACTTGTTGTGTGTTGTGTGTTGTGGTGGTGTGCGGTGTGCGGTGTGTGTGTGTGTTGCGCGTTGTGTGTTGCGTGTTGTGCGGCGGGCGGTGGGCGCAATGTGGGTGGGTGGGTGGGTGGGGGGGGGGGGCACTCACCCGGGGTTGCAGGGAGGGGGGGGCGGGGGGGGGCGTCGCGCAGTCTGAAGCGTCCGAAGGAGGGGGAATGTGTGATGTATGGTCTACGGAGGGTTTTACAACTGTTGCTCGAACGACACAGGCGCACGGGACTGGTGCGTACTGGCACTAACACAAGTACACCACGGGGGAGCCGCCTAAGCGACTCCCGCGAGGACAGAAAAGAATTTTAGAACAAAAGGCGGTCGCACGACACGATTCACGCGACAGGCGAGGCGCGGTCGACGGCTTCCTCAGAAGCCGTCGCCCGCACCACAGGAGCAGTCACACCACCACTCCCACTCCGGCGCCCACGCGCCCACCCACTCCCCACCCCGACATCCCCACCCCACCCCACAACCCCGCCCCACCCCAACCCGAGCAACCCCGCCCCAACCCGACCCGACCCGATCCACCCCGCCCCGCCCCGCCCAGCCCCCCCCACCGGACCAACTCCACGCTCGCCCACGACGCCAGCCGCCTCGCCCGCCGCCCCGCCCGGCCTCCGCGCCCGCCCGCCCGACCGCCGCCAGCGCCGGCATCTCGACGGCCTCCGCCTCGCCCGCCCTCCGATCCTGTGGCCTCGCTGAAGAAATCGACGCAGCAGCGACCGCGACCTCGGGCAGAAAGAATTTAACAAGCAAAAACCGGTACACGGAGCCCTCTCGGTACATGAACATGAGCTGCCAGGGTGGTGGGTGGGGAGGGCGAGAACGGCGGCAGGCCTGGGGGCGGTGGGGACGGGGGCGAGGGCGGTGGTGATGGTTCGTGGGTTCGTGGGGTGAGGAGCGAGAAAGAAGGGGCGGAAGATGGTGGTGGGGATGACGGTGGTGGAGACGGCAAGGGGGGTAGGGCGGCGGCGAGGGCGGCGGTGACAGGGGTGGCGGCG